GGGGGATATTAATAATTAAAATTATAGATGGGGTGATTTATTCCTAAGGTTCCCTTATAAGTAGATATAAATATGATGTATTGGTTTAGAATATAGATGCACAGCCAATACATTCTAAATAACCTGACCTGAGATCAGACTTCAAAGGGAACCGAACAGTATAGAAGTATGGCTGCCTACCACCATAGCTGACTTGTTTTTATTATTGCAGGTTCCGGGGCTGTCATTTATTCATGCTTTCACTACTTAGTGAGCCAATAACTCACAACAAGCATGTCAGGTCTATATACTTGTTCCTCATTAAAGGGAACCTGTGCTTTGCCTATTGAGGGCTACAGGTTTAGCTTAATCCTCCCACTCAGCCTCAGTTCTTTCAACAAGGTTAAGTTTGTACTTAAGGCAATAAATGGTTATAATTAATTATATCTCACTCATCTCTCACTTCACTTTGCAGCATCCACTAGTGCGCCTGAGAGGTGGGGCCAACACTGGAGAAGGACGAGTTGAGGTCCTGAAAAATAATGAGTGGGGAACTATTTGCGATGATCGATGGAACTTGGTATCTGCCAGTGTGGTCTGCAGGGAGCTTGGGTTTGGCAGTGCCAAAGAGGCTTTATCCGGATCACAGATGGGGCAAGGTAATATTATGTGTAAATGTAATTGGCCGTTCTAGGATTCCTGACCTATATAAAGACCTGTGCTAAGCCTATGGCCCCTTTTGGAATTGAGCACAAATCTTTTACCTAACAATCTTGTAGACCGGACATTTTCCATGAGGTAATTATTGTTCCCTTGAGATAAGTCCTGGGAGCATCTGGTAAGTGTGTAAATATAGGTCAGATGTCCAAGATGAGCTTCAATACTCTATTCAAATTAAGAAATACGAGTCATTCCGGGGAAATATTCCTGACTCATATCCCTGAATACAGCTCACACTTTCCAGCTAAAAACTGCTACCAGTTTCCAAGGAACAAGAAATGGGTCAACCCCTGGATCTAAGTGAACTGCTTTTTGTACTTAAGGCAATAAATGGTTATAATTAATATATCTCATGTATGCTATTTTTCACTCCACTGTGCAGCAGCCACTGGTGCGCCTGACAGGTGGGGCACCTCTCTAAAGATACAATGCTCTTATCAATGCTCTAGAAACCAGACCTGAGCAGGAACTAACACTAGAACAGTTTTGTCTAGAGTCTTATCTCTAGAGTTTGTCTAGAGATAAGATAGCTCAGGGTCTTCATAACACCAAGTGGTTAGGGCTTTCTGTGCATAATAGAGAATGAAGATGAACATATACAGGCAGTAAAAACGCAAAGGCTAAACAATCAGATGACAGATCAAACAAATTGATTCAGATATCTAAGAGATAAGGTATTAAAATGAGGGGTGGTGGGACACCCCATCATGGGTATGCACAGTTTTCTGAGTTTTTCATGTTTGAGTAACCATGTCTGTACCTGAGTCGATACTGTTGTACCTTTATTAAGGGTTCTTGTAAGTGCTCAGGTAATAAAACCACTTGCTTTATGATTTGGAGCATTGGTGCTTTTGCCTCTCATGGTTGTGGTGCAAACACCTCTGCACCAGTCTGCAAAAGAAAAAGAAAAAAAGATTGGTTAGTATTGTTATTACAGTGGTACCTCGGTTCACAAACTTAATTCATTCCACGATTCTGGTCACGAACCGAATCAAACTGTGATGAAACCGTGATCTCGACTAGAGGAAGCCACGTCCAGTGTCACACGATGTGGAGTTCGCGAACGGAAGCAAAATGTTGCCTAACTTCCTGTTCGCGAACCGAATTCTTCGCGAACAGAAGCGTTCGTGAACCAAGGTACCACTGTATTTATATATATTAAATATGTCTTTATTGTCTGTGATCATGTTTTGTCACTTACCTTCCTACTTTAGAACATGTGCACATACCACAGGTGTTAGGTCATTATGTACATAGCTGGTCCTGTCTCTGAACTGTATAGCACATTCACATGTCTCTGTGTCTCCGCAGGCATGGGCCACATTCACATGAGTGAGATCGACTGCACCGGTTTTGAGAAGTCACTTATAGATTGCAAATTTAACATGCACACCCCCAGTTGTACCCACGAGGAGGACGCAGCAGTGAAGTGTAATGTGCCGGCTATGGGTTTCCAGAACCAGGTGAGAGCTCAGTCCTGTCAGATTAACATTGACAGGTCAGAAGTATACAGACACATATTTCTATTTAGAATTTTCAAGTTGATAAATGTATGTACACTGTGTAGTATTATATGGGACATGATTATATTTGGGGATTATAAGTGTGTGTACGGATCAGCTTAAGAACAAGGACAGTTACAGAAGTGTCTGAGGTCACAAAACCGTTCAGTGGTCCATTAGTACATGTCTGGCTTTCAAAGGGTCTTTCTGAAGGTGACTAGCTCAGATTAACTATGTTCAGTAAGTATTACGTAACACCGACGTAAGGAGCATTCTTCCCACTAACCACCAATGTAAGGAGCATTCTTCCCACTAACCACCAATGTAAGGAGCATTCTTCCCACTAACCACCAATGTAAGGGGCATTTTTCCCATTGACCCCAATGTAAAGAGCATTCTTACCACTGAACACCAATGTAAGGATAATCCTCCCCACTGGTCACCAATGTAAGGAGCTATCTTCCCACTGACCACCAATATAAAGAGCATTTTTCCCATTGACCACCAATATAAGGAACCTACTCACCTCTAACCATCATGCTAATGTACCGTGAGATGTAGGTATAGTAATTATTAGTAGGGGTTCCCTGTTATTTCAAGGGTTCCTTCATGTTAAAAAGGTTGAGAAATGCTGACTTAGACAGTGACCTGAACATGAAACCCTTATGTGAAATGGTGCTCTAATGCAAGTATCATATTCTCTTAGACATCACATGATGGTCTTTTTCTATACAGGTTCGTTTGAGTGGGGGACGTAACCCCACAGAAGGACGAGTGGAAGTTCTAACGGAACACAATGGCACCCTGCGTTGGGGCACTGTGTGCAGTGAGGGCTGGGGCACGATGGAAGCCATGATTGTCTGTCGCCAACTAGGACTGGGATTTGCCAGCCATGCTTTCCAGGTAAGGAGTGAATGTTACTCAACAGCTCAGCCATTCTGGCTATAGTTCTGCAGCACTGGAGTCTTTGGTTTGAATCCCGACCAGGACACTATCTGCAAGGAGTTTGTATGTTCTCCCTGTGCTTGCATGGGTGTCCTTCATGTACTCCAGTTTCATATTACACCCCAAAGACATGTTGGTGGGTTAATTGGCTCCTGTCTAAATTGGCCCTAGTATGTGAGATAGGGACCATAGATTGTAAGCTCCATGAGGGCAGGGCCTGATGTAAATGTACAATATGTAAATTTGGCACTAGATATTAATATCTAGAATAAATAGTTCAGTTCGTTTAAGATTCCCTTAAGAAAATCCTCCACCACGCCTGGCTTGGCTTGTGACATAACAAAGCAGGATAGCACGTCTTGTTCGGGAGCCGTTTCAGGAATGTTCCCTGGCTTCATTCCACGGTGTGGAGACCAGACATTGTTCCATGCACAGCAGCTGTAAGCTGGATGTTTAATGTTGTGCAACATGTAAGATCAGCAATGCCAAACCCCCTCCGGGGAAGGCAGCTTGTAATGTCAGTAATAAATAAATGGTCTCGCTCAGACCACTCGGATTGACATACAGGGGGGTGCACATAAATAAATGTCAATGAGCAATGACCAGAATTATATCTAAAGCTTATGTTACCTCTGGCTGAGCCGGATGTCTATACTTGGATGTATAAACACAATGCAAAGAACAGTGGTGTACACCCCCTTCTTTGCAACTAATCAGAGACTGGCTTTAAATATGTATGAATACAATAAACCCTTGATTCTCAACTGGTGGGTCGTGACCCAAAAGTGGGTCGCGACCCCGTGTTTAGTGGGTCGCCACATGCCTTCCACTTTTCTGGGTGAGCACTGTCAGTGTCAGTTCTCGCACCAAGCAGCCATTCAAAATATGCTGTCCGGTGCTGAGTGTCAGCTTGAGGTGGGGTGGGGTGGGCCGGGGGTTAGGCGGCGAGGGAGCTCCATTCATACATGCATTGCTTACAGCTTCCTCACGTGTCCTGTAGAGGTCCCTGGACCGGAGTGACATCACATTCTGGCTCCTCTATAGGGCATGCACGGGGGCTGTACAAGCAATGCACATATGGATGGAACTCCATCACAGCACAACGGCCCACACTGGACTCCAGGCTGAGGATCTACTCCAGTTCTCGTAAGGTAGGGAGACTGGGTGGATCTTAGAAAAAGAAAAAAAACATTTCTGGAGTGTGTGTTAGAATGTCTGTGAGTGTGTGAGATTGTATCTCTGGTTGTGTATGTCTGTCAGTGTTTTTGAGGGCCCGTTCACACCAATACAGTGCGTTAATAGCACAGTCCCATGCGATTAATGCACTGTACTACGCAATCGCACCTACTGTGCATTCTGGTGTGGGAGGTGCGTTGCGTTGCCATTCATTTGAATGGTACCCCAAACGCAGCCGCCACCCTCAGTTCGTACATCCGCTCCAGAACGCGTGATACCCTAATGCAATGCATTCCATTGCAGTGTGACTTGGGTCACGACTTAATGACCAAGGACAAATGTGGGTCCTGAGGTTACACAGGTTGAGAACCACTGCAATAAACTACTGAAAGGCCGAAATCTGATTGGCTACCCTGCGGCTTGTACAACAGGCCTCATTTCTCAAAAGCGTTCTGTAATTGCCATAACATTGAGACAAATTTTAACCGTCATATTTAGAAGAAGGTTTGAAAATAAAAGTAACATTCTGATTGGTTATCATAGGCAGCACTTCTTTCATATACATGGAAGTAAAGCCGTGGACCGATCTGCTCATAATGGCAATGGGGGACAATGCCTGTGCACTGTGTGATGGCACAACCACTTGTAGTCTCCCCCAGGCGTGCGTGTGACAACACAGGAGCACAATTATGAGACAATTGTCACCCCATAACAGGACATGCCCGAGCAAGGTCCTTCAGGTCAGGGTCACCAGGTATTCTTTTAATAAAGGTTAAGATTTTAAAAGATTGAGAACAACTTTTGTAATAACATTTAGGGGTGTATTTATAAAATGTTCTCAGAGTGAACAGCTCTGCGAATGTCTAAGTTGTAGACTATCAGCAGAATTTAGCCACTAGATGGAGCTGAGGTGCATTGAAAATTCCTATTGTTCTCAGCTCCACCTAGTGGCCATAATGAGCTGTAAATCTACAACTTAGACATTCGCAGAGCTGTTTACTCTGAGTACGTTTTACAAATACATCCCTAAGATTTTAAAACTGAAATTTAATCTACTTTTATTTTGCCTTCCTTGGTTCCTTCCTCCTCCCCCCTCATCAACATGCTAATTACAGTTTTAAATAAAACCTTTCCATTATTCATTACATACCTTTACATCATCACGGGATCTCTATGCTTCTCACTTTGAACTGTGTTTTACAGCTCAGTAGCTTATATATATATATATGTTTTGTCTGCTTCATGTTCTTGCCATGCCAGGCAGAGGAGTTATAATCACCTTCAGCCATGTAGGACATGGAGGGGCATGTAGTCCTCCTGAGACATGTAGAGACCTAGAGGCCAGCTATCTGTGCCTACGGGTGTGGAAAAAGCCATAGAGAGCACATTGTAAATGCTGATTTACGTACACAAGGCTCCCACCCACCCACAGGCTAGATCCTGAATGGAAAGTATGTTACTTAGCTGGGTAGAATATATGCTGTGTCCAGAAATGGAACATCGTGTTGTCATGCCCAGAGGTGTAACTAGGAATGTCTGTGCTCCATACAGGACCCGGGACAAGCCATCTCCATGGTTTACTCTATACATAGAAACATATTTTATGATAATATAAATACAAACATTATATAAATATATATTCATGCAATGCGTCGCTCCATCTAGTGATGGTAGTGCCATGCAAACCGCATATACGCTGGGCTGAAGGATTCACAAATCAGCCCTAAAGTGTATATTTTTGTTAGTTTTGTACAGAGTTGGGAAGAATTAGAACTTCTTTCAGCTTTTACTGCAATCAGGGGCTCTGTTGGAGAGATTCCTTCACTTCCTGTCTGGTAAAACAGCTGTCCCCAGAACAGGAAGTGAGGGGAAATCTCTGTAAGGCCCCATTCACACCAGGGCGAAAGCGTTTGAGCACGGTTTCTGCACAAATTTTTTAAAGGGCGTTTTTAATCACAATTCAGCACTGAGACTCAATTAAAAATGGCCAAAATCACGCTAGTCAACGCAGTTCCGTTAAAATCGATATGGAAAATGCGCTAATCGGCGCAAAAAAGTAGCTCAGCGGGTAGTTTAGGTGGCAGCCGGTTTAGATTGCGCGGAGCCGTGCGCTTGCCTGAATGTTCCCCATAGGTATGTAAGGGATTGTTCATGTCGGGGGCTCGGCGCGGATAAAACCGTACGACCGCTCTGCCCTGGTGTGAACGAGGCCTCACAGTAACAAAGTTAGGGAAATGATAGAACCTCTGTCAGATTTTTATTATCGTCGGTTTTCCTGTTGCAGATTCCCCTCACGTCCTGTCTGATAAAAGTTCATTAGCAGAACAGGAAGTGAGGGTAAATCTCTCTAACAGATAGCATTGAAACCTGATAGGAGTTCTAACCTTTTCCCATTCTGTAAAAAAAACTTTTGGGGTGTACATTTGGGACACATTTGTATACATTGTATATGTTTAGAATGCTTTCATGTGCCTGTAACACTGGTATTCCCAGAGCATTCATTGTGTTCCCTCCACAGGAAACTTGGTACTGGCAGGGTGACGTCACGGCCGATGATGTTATTGTGAGCGGAGTAAAGTGCTCGGGCACAGAGATGTCACTGTCACACTGCAGACATGACGGGCCCCATATCAACTGCCCCAAAGGAGGAGGACGGTTCGCCGCCGGAGTGTCCTGTGCAGAGAGTGAGTTCTTCATACACCATATAGAAATGTATTACAATGAGCTGTGTATTAAGCGATCACCTAAAGGGGGACACAGAGATAGTCGGATATATCAGGGTAGGGAATTCCAGAGGATGGGAGTGGTTCTGGAGAAGTCCTGGAGGTGAGCATGCAAGGAGGTGAAAAGGGGGGAGCTAGAGAGCAGGAGGTCTTGGGAGGAGCGCACAAAACGGTTTGGGTGAATTTTGAGAGATCACCTAGAGGTGGACAGAGGAGGAGCTAAGTGGACAGACATTAGACAGACAGTGGACTGTAGGGAGTTCCAGGGGAATGGGGAGGCTCTGGAGAAGTCCTGGAGGCGGTTATGGGAGAAGGTGATGAGGGAGTTAGAAAACAGGAGGTTTTGGTAGTAATAGAGAGGACGGTTTGGGTTAGTTTTGAGCGATCACCTAAAGGTGGACACAGTAGGAGATAGCTGAAGAGGTTGGGGTAGGGAGTTGCAGAGAATTGGAGAGGCTCTAAAGATGTCCTGGAGGTGGTTATGGGAGGAGGTGATGAGGGAGCTAGAAAACAGGAGATCTGAATATCTCTGGTTAGTTATATTAAACGGGGATTGTCTGAAGAACATTTTGACATTATCCTGAGGTGCAGGTAGTTAAGGTGCACATGTCACACATGTCAGGGGGTGCTTGAGATAAGCTGAACCTTCCTCTGCTTGGTAGATGTTATGTAAGGGATACATAGTCTCTGAGATCTGAGATACACTGTAATAACTTTATCACAATAAATAAATTATAACTCCTTCTCTGTTCTCCCCCAATATACTCGTCGCCCTAGGCACTCGCCTAGATTGCCTTAATGGTGAATTGAGCCCAGTTCCCTTCTTCTCCTATGTGTTATAAGTCATGATGTTTCCTTGTATTAGAGGAGGCCCGGCACCAATAATGTGTACCTTACTGTCTTTCCCCCTTTGCAGCTGCCTCTGATCTTGTCCTCAATGCCCCTCTGGTTGAACAGACCACATACCTGGAGGACAGACCCATGTTCATGCTTCAGTGTGCCCATGAAGAGCGCTGCCTCTCTTCCTCAGCCGACAAGGCCAGTTTCACCACCGGATACCGGCGACTTCTACGCTTCAGCTCCCAGATACATAACACTGGACAGGCTGACTTCCGACCTAAGACTGGGCGCCATGCCTGGGTCTGGCATGAATGCCACCGGTAAGTCACTGACCAAAGCTTACATTAATACCGGTGAACTGTGGTAATTTAGGTAATACCTGGGACTGGAGAGCATTATGCATCAGAATCCCTAATCAAATTTATGGTGGCCATACACGTAAGGATCAATTGTTTATTTTTACATTAATGGCCAGCCTTAGAGTGACAGCAGATAAGCATTGTAAATGCTCATCACCTGTTATACTTGTTCCCTACTCGTATCATCCTTAAGTCACCCGTTCCCAAATAATCACATGTAAGTTTTAAAAACATCCTAATATAAAAGCCTCAATTACATACCTAAACCCATGATCACATGATACTTCAGGTCCTATGGCTTCTTTCCTCTGTAATTCAAAGTGGAAGGGTCCTTCTTCAGGATTTTCTGCCTAGGGAATATGTGCGCTTCCCATTGGCTGCCCATTGGCAAAGTCCTTACAGGCTCCAAAAGACTGCAGTGGCAGGATGATGTTATGATGATGGGACCAGTTAGCGGTGGGCACAGACTGCACCATCGCTGGATCACGTGCCTTCACTCCCAATAGAGGCACCTCCACTCCCAGTAGAGGCACCAGTGATGGACACGTGATGGGAGCCAAAATGTGACATCACTCCACTCGAGGCACCTCTACAGGACACGCGGGGGAGCTGTAAGCAATGCAGGTATGGATGACGCTTTCACGCGGCCATAGCCCCATCCCATCCCACCTCAAGCTGAAACTTAAATGGCTGCTTGGCACAAGAACTGACAGTGCTGCACTAGGGGGAGGCTGAGGAGCCTTTCACCTAGAAAAGTGGAAGGCACCCATTGAACACAGGGTGGCGACCCACCAGTTGAGAAATAGGGAATATGCACACTCCCAATTGGCTGCCCATTGGCATAGTCCTCGCAAGTTCCAAAAGACTGCAGTGGCAGGATGATATTACGATGATGGGACCAGTTGGTGGCGGGCACAGAGTGGACCATCGCTGGATCACCGGCCTCCACTCCCAGTAGAGGCACCTCCACTCCCAGTAGAGGCACCTCCACTCCCAGTTGAGGCACCTCCACTCCCAGTAGAGGCACCTCCACTCCCAGTAGAGGCATCAGTGATGGACACATGATGGTGGAAAGCAGGGGGAGAGTCCCTTTTATGCAGGGCACATCAGTTGACACATCTAACCATTAATTAATGCATACTAGTACTTAAAGGAACATCTCTTACCAGGTTCATACATAAGTGGATATACACTCGAGCTCAGTACAAGTACATACCATACAGACTGGATGCAAATATATGCCTATCACCCATAAGATGCATATAATGGGAATATAATATCATAGCAATGTAGCCAAAAAGGGCATGTACCAATTCTAAAAAATCAAAAGCTATAGTTAAAGACACACCTGCTAAAAAAGGAACTTTATTATTTAGAAAGATCAAAACATAAGTGAAAAAATACAAAGATTAAGAACCAAAATTGGAAAGAAATGATGTTTCATCCAAACAGAGAAAAAAGGCTGAAATTGTAAATGAGAGAAAAGGGAACAAATAGAAAAGGGGTGAAGAGGGGATGAATGGGGAAAGGAAGAGGGGTGGGTGATATACATAGGGAGGGAGAAGGAAAAAGAGGAAGGGGGGAGAAAAGAGAAAACAGGAAGGGGAGAAAAGGGGAGGGGAAGCAAAAGAGGAGCCAGGGAACAACGGCGTAACAACCTGGTGGGGGAAAGCTGGTGTGGCTGCCCCAGGCGCAGAGCCGGAGGGGGGCGCCGGCTGCCGGGCAATGACAAGCAGGGCCCGGCGATTGAAAGATTTGTGGCAGGGTGTGGAATGCCCCAATGTCACCGAGAGCACTTGTGATAAAACTGCAGCCGGTCCGTCCTCCCCCGCACCTACCTATCTCCTCGCTGGCTCCTTCCTCCGGGCTCCATTCTTAAAAGTAACCCTGCCGCTGTGCTCTTCCCCTCTCACCTGTCACAGGAGTTCCAGCACAGTACTGTGCTAGAACTCTTGTCCTGGAGGTGACAGGGTCAATAAAGAGAACATGTCACCTCCAAATGCTGTCACACAGAGGGCTTGGTAGCTCCTGTGTGATAGCGATAGAGTTAAGTGGGAAAAAAATTTAAAAAAAAATAATTGGATAAATAAAAAAATAAGTAAAAAATAATAAGAAAACAATTATTAAATTAAAACAATAAAAAGGTGATCAAAAAGTAAAAAAATGTCATGGTCCACTTGCCATGATAACCAGTTGATTGGCAGGCTCCTTCCCTACAGGGACCCGGGCTCCACTGCATAGAAGAAGGACAGGAGCCTGCCAATCAGCTTGTTACTATTTCCTGGGTGATATTTGGGGGGAGTACAGGGACAATGAGGGCATGCTGGAACTTGTAGTTCAATAACAACATGTCCCAGCATGCTCTCATTGTACCTGCACACCCCCACATATCACCGGTGGGGGCGCAAAATTTTGTTCTGCCCCGGGCGTCGGTTACTCTGGTTATGCCACTGCCAGGGAACAGAGGGGAGTCTTAAAATGTTCTGTTAGTATTCTTATTGGTGCTGCCAAATGTCGGTGTCTGCCATACATCTGCCTCCGGTTTGGTTTGTTGTGTTTTGTATAAATGGTTCTATACATTTTTTATTTGGCTACATTATTTATTTGGATGTCTTATATAAATGTTCAAGAACTTGGCAAAGGGGCAATCAGCTCAGGTGACTGTAAGAGGATGTTTACAGCTTTGCCCCCTTCCCTTCTGCATGCCTTGGCACAAGTCAGGCATCCGCTTACATGAAGCCAAACACGTCTCCACAATCATCCTCAGGAACGAGCAATTCTACGTCAGAGTATTTTCACATCTAAAACTCATTTATCGGCCAGATGGGGGGCATGCTCGGCCGGTCACTTTTATCAACAGCATATGATCTAGGCATAGAAACGTTTCCCTGATAGTATCCAGTCCCCAGCACATATATGAGGTTATGTCCTGCTTGTGTACGTTTCTTTGTAGATATAAATTTGAAAGAGTTCAGCTGAATGCAAACATGTGTGTTTGTTTAAGTTTTAGCTGTCCTGTTTTTATGTGCAACCATTCAGGGGCATCCCGAGACTGGGTGACACTTGGAGCGGAGACCGGGCACGGCTTATTGATGCCTGCCGGCGGCCATCTTGGTGATGGACGCTGGCAGAGAGAGAGTGGATGTTCACCTGGCGGGATGAGGTATGCCGCCGTGTCCCCTCCTCTCTCCTGACACTGTCGGCTCTCGGTCTGTGACCAAGTGCCCGACTTTTCATAGGGGGTGACAACAAAATGACTGTCAGTCATTTTGGTGTCACCCCTCCAATGGTGGCACCCGCACCCCCCTTGTGATGCCACTGCAACCATCAAAGTCTATGTCAGGGCAGATTTAAAAAACATATGCAGTACATCTCTGCAATACAGAAGCAATTCCACATGTTGTATTCCTTTAAAGACCATGTAAGTACAGAAACATACCTATGGCAGAAATGCACTCAGCTCCTAAATCCTGGGCTAACAATGGTGGTGTCAGCTCTGCCCAGTTGTCCTTTGCTAATCTACCCAAACGCTCCCACTATCAGAACTTTACAACCTAAATTGTAACCTAATTAATCTGCAGTCCCTAGAGACTAGGGAGGGCTAATTGGGATCCTTGAGATGACACAGGATGTGTGCACTGGACAGAAGGCAAAATATTTCCACAGTATTCTACGGGACCTTTAAGGCTCAGACGACTGTCAATAGATTTCAATGAATTAAAATATGTTGATGAGAATACAGATACAATCCCTTGTTCTACATCAGCCTCATCCCCATCACACAATCAATGATATTATAGCGTCCAACACGTTTCGTGTATATAATTCACTTCCTCAGGGATGAGGTGGACATCTATAACAATAGATCTATAATCAATGTGAGTTGTTAACATTTGCATTCTCAATCTGCATAATAAATGCATTACATATACATTGTATAATCCTGACTTACAAGATTCTCCTGGAGTCCTTTGCAGTTAAATGAAGGCTTGATAGCTGCACACGTAGGTTCGATGGTTTGATAACATTGAGAATCTTGATAATTCATAGTAAATCATCTATATCCTTGGTTCTCAACTGGTGGTTCGTGACCCAAAAGTGGGTTGTGACCCCGTGTTCAGTTGGGCGCCACATGCCTTCCACTTTTCTAGGTGAGAGGCTTCTCTGCCTCCCCCTAGCACAGTAGTGTCAGTTCTCCCACCAAGCAGCCATTCAAAATATGCTGCCCGGCACCAAGTGTCAGCTTGAGGTGGGATGAGGCTATGGGCGTGTGGGAGCTCCATCCGTACGTACAATGCTTACAGCTCCCTCGCATGTCCTGCAGAGGTGCCTGGACTGGAGTGACGTCACATTCTGCTTCCCGACACCACTACAGGGCGCGCAAGGGAGCAGTACAAGCAATGCAGATATAGATGGTGCTCTGTCACGGAACAGCAGCCCACACTGGACCCCAGGCTGAGGATCCACTCCAGTTCTCGTAAGATAGGAAGACTGGGTGGACCTTAAAACAAAAACAAAAATAATCTACTTTTTTTGGAGTGTGTATGTGTTTGTGAGATTGTGTCTGTGGTTGTGTGTGTCGGTCCGTGCCTTTGAGGGGCCATTCACACTAGTACAGTACGTTAATCGCACAGTCCCGTGCAATTACACCTACTGTGCATTTTGGTGTGTGAGGTGTGTTGCGTTGCCATTCATTTGAATGGTACCCCAAACTCACCTCCCACCCACAGTTCGTACGCCCGCTCCGGAATGCACGGTACCCTAATGCTGTGCGTTCCATTGCAGTGTGACTTGGGGTCACGACTTAATGACCAAGGACAAATGTGGGTCCTAAGGTTACACAGATTGAGAACCACTGGTCTATATGTTATAGGTTTTCCATATTTAGTTACTGTTCTGGAGTAACCAATGAAACAGTATTTCATATATCTACCCTTTGGCATATAGCACTATCTGACTAT